CTGAAGAAGAAAAAAAGAACAGCTCCGAACATGGCAAGAATATTTCAAGACTTTACTAAACATACATCAACAGGAAGAACATGATAGACCTACCGGTAGAGGACAAAGAGAACAAAGAGAAAATAAAAACAAAATGGCAGGATCCATGTATGTATATAGAATGTAATAATCCCCATCCATAAAAAGGGAGACAAAACTAAGGGCTCTTATTATAAAGGCATTTCCCTATTTAATACGGCATATAAAATTTTATCGAACATCCTATTAAGTAGGCTGACACCATGTGTAGAAAATTTCATGAAATTTCATGAAGCCGGCTTCCGAAAACATAGATTGACCATAGATCAGATCTTTACTCTAAAACAACTGCTTGAAAAAGGATGGGAATTCGATAGAATTATCCGTAATCTCTTCATACGTTTCCGGCAAGCGTACGACAGTATTTAAACAACAGATGTAGAATGCAATGGCAGAACTTTTAGTTCCAAAAAAACGTTCCAGCTTGTTAAGTTATGTATAAATAGATCCAGATCTGTTAATCTAAAGATCCAGAGTACGGATAGGTGACAAACTCTCAGAATCTTTTGAAATAAGCAGTGGCCTGAAACAAGGAGATGCGTTGTCACCTCTCCTTTTTAATATCATCCTAAAGAAAGTAGTAAGAGCAGCACAATTTAAAAAAGACCATAATTACTACTAGCATACGCAGATGACAATAACATTGTGGGAAACACAGTCACCAATATGAAGAAGACTTTTAATAAAGTGAAGGTAGAGGCAAAGAAAACTGGTTTAAGGGTAAACGAAGAGAGAAATACATGTGCTTCAACAGACAAAAGGGACGAGATATAACAGGGCAAAATGTTACAATAGCCCAATAACACTTTTAAAGTCTGGAGAGTTTTAAATATCTCGGAGCAACAATCACGGCAGATAACGATATCATGGAAAAAATTAAAGGAAGAATTTGGGCAGCCAACAGATATATGTACAGCCTGCACAATACTATTAAATGTTAAAATCTAACACGACCATCAAAGATTAAAATATATATAAAATGATGATTAAGCCGGTGGTCATGTATGGGTGTGAGACGTGGACCTTGATTAAAGAAACTGAAAGAAAACTGACAGATAAAATAAATTAAAATTATCTATAAAATACAAAATATTTCTTTGCCAAATAAAGTACTTAAGAAAAAGTAATCTGAAATATAAATTGTGTTTATTGAAGTTCGTTATTATGTATAAGCGAGGTTCCTACAGCGTCTGCCGCTTCTCGCATTTCGACCGTCATCGTTTTCTGTCCATCCATTCGTCTTTTTTGATGGCATAATTAAACTATATAATTCCTTGGTAAGACCACATCTTTAGTATGCTTATGTAGTTTGGGCACCACGTGCAGAAGTAAATATAGATTTAATTGAAAAGGTACAAAAAAAGGTTTTTAAGATATCTACATGCTTAGATTAAAGAAACTTAGGGTTTCTTTAATCTAAGTCTACATGTTAGAAAATATAATTCGTATTCATACTTGGTGTCTTACCGGAGTATGCTTAAAACTTTTAATTTGTAACATTGGAACAGGGACGAAAAATGCAAGCAATGCTATGTGTATATTATATTGTGAACAACTTAAAATATAAAGACTTATCCTTGATCAACTATATAAAATTCTTGGTACCTAAGATTATCTTAAGGTTAAGTCATAGAGGGCTGTTTTTTTCTATTTGTGAGACAAACTGTCAGCCCATTAACAACATGATGATGATGAGGCAGTGCAATATGATACTAAAAAAGAATAGCGACATAGATATCTTCAACACCAACATCAAAGTAATTTAATCTAGCTTGTTATCCGCTTTGATCATTTTATCTTAGCATGTGGGTATATCTAATGTTAAAATTCCCACTTGTAATTACATTGTATTCTGTAAAATGTGTTTGTTGTGGAATAAAATAAATAAAAAAAATAAAAGCAAATTGTTCGCCTTCTTCCCTTTCTCTATATTTATTTTAATATTTAATTTTATTTTACATTTGCGGATCATAACAATATATATTGTATAAATTGTATAAATTTTTAATTAGATGCAGACACGTTCTGCTTTTGCAACATTTCAAGTAGTTTTATTATTAACCTTGATTAATTTTTTAACTTTTAGTTTATTCAAAGCAATAACTGTATCATAAAATGAATATATGTTTTCCCGACAACTTTATCTGTATTCAAATACACCGACTGTTCACATTAATAATAAACATATTTAGAGAATAACTTTTTGATCTCTTTACGGAAGTTCTAGTTTATGTTTTATAAATTCAGTTTTATGCAACTTTCCTAAATAACTAAATCTAATACAACTGGTCCACAAAAGAATTAATTAAAAACTTTTAACTAAATGGTTACAAAAAAATAGTTGATTATACTCACACTTCATATCTACATTAGGGTCGAGCGCTGTTTTACGGAGAAAAATAAAATACCGATTTTCACAAACGCGGGATGCGGAATCGATGCTACTGTGGGACAGTATTCGAAAACTTTATTGTCATTTTTTTATATTTCCACTCTGACATCTGTCCCAACGTGATATAAAATTTTGAAAGTTATAAAAAAAAATATTTTTTCATGCGCGGGGTGAGGTATCAATCCAGTCCTAGAATATGAAACGAAAACTTCATTAACACTTCTTGCTATCTCCATCAGAATAACTGCCCCGGTGCTACTGAAATCGATATATTTTAAATTTCGGGCCAGCACCCTATCTCACGGAGATACCAACTAGTTATTACCTGTCACAAATGTCGACCTTTACTCCCCCCACTCTATTTCAATTCTAAGTAGGTATTAGGTACATCTTTTGTATTCACTATTCAGTACTGTTTCGATAATTGGTTGATTTAGTATCGTTTTCTATAGCATCAAGCTCAATCGTCAAAGTCGTGAAGTAACTTGTCCAATATTTGGTTCTGGTAATGAGAGTTCTGTTGTTTCCTTAATAAGCTGAGCTGCTTCTTTGGTATTTGTGGATGCCTCCCTGAACTGGTAAAACCTGGATATGGTCTCAGCAGCTCTCATTGCTTCTTGGATTGTAGGACAAGCAACGATGTCTTCTTCTTCTTCAGCTTCATCGACATCCATTTCCACTTTTTGCACCAGTTCAACAATTTCTTTATCACTTAGGACTTGAAATGTTTCCACCTCATCGTCTACTGAAATGTAGGAGTCAAGATCAGTTCCGAACGCTCCCTGATTCACATTAAATTTTTGTATCCACTCTGACAAAGGCATTTCGTCATCTTTATCAACGTCCTCAACATTGAGAGAAGCTACAGTCAATTTTGCTTGACGAAAACACTTATGAATTGTCACTGACGTAACCGCACTCCACGCATTGTCTAAAAACTGAATAGCATCCAGGATGGTAATGTTCACAGGTTCTCCATTATCCATACAAAAAATCATTCTTTTTAAAAGCTGTTTTCGATAATGGCACTTTAAACTTCTTATGATTCCCTGGTCCGTAGGCTGCAAGACACTCGTGCAGTTAGCGGATAAGAACACTAGATTTATATTGGTCAAACTAAGTTTGGGATGGGCTGCATAGTTGTCAACTAGGAGAAGAATTTTTCTTTTTTTGAAAGAGAGTTCCTTGTCCCACTTTCTCAATTCTTCTTCAAAAATAGCAGAAGTCATCCATGCTTTTTTATTGGCTGTGTAGTTTACAGGTAGTGTTTTAATGTTTTTGAAACATCTAGGATGTAAACTTTTCCCAATAACCAAAAGCTTTCTTTTCTCTGTACCTGTCATATTTGCGCAAACAAAAGCCGTTACTCTTTGCTTGGAAAGTTTTCCACCGACACATTTTTGATTTTTGAAATTTAAAGTTTTGTCTGGCGTTAATTTATAAAAGACACCTGTCTCGTCACCATTAAAGATATCTTCATCTTTGTATGGTTGCCTTTGTTGTGGCCATGTGTTTTGTAACCAGTCACTTGTTACGTTCTCGTCCACACATTTTGAATCTCCAACAATTTTCGAGAAGGAAATTGAGTGCCTGGCTTTAAACCGATCTAACCAGCCGTTAGAGCATGTGAAATCTTCACCAAACAATTTTCCGAACTCTGTAGCTTTCTCCTTTAAAATTGGCCCGGACACAGGGATATCAGAACTGCGACACTGCTTGAACCATTTGAGTAGAGCTGAATCTACATCACCACGAATGCACTTCCTAATCTTTTTAACATTGTTTCCGTCCTCTTTAAAGGCTTTTAAAATTTGGCCTTGTTTTTTATGATTGAGCCGACAGTCGAATTAACAAGTCCAAATTGCCGGCATACATCAGCAATTTTTCGACCACTTTCAAATGCTCTTATAACACGCACTTTTTCTTTAATAGGCAAAACCTTCCTTTTAGTGCTACAATTTGCCATATTAGAAAATAAAAGCTAATTACCAAATTAAAATAAAAAAAAACAACAAAACGATCCGAACACAATTTCACGGTAGCGAAAATTTCTTAAACCGACTGTTCCGAAACAGAAAATTTGACTGTTAGGAGTGTTAGGACGGCACTGATAAATGCGAAATTATAGATTGTCAGGGTAACATAACTGTACACAGAAGGGATAATGGACCTTTCTTACATTCTTGGAAGGAACAAATGCCGCAAAGCCAGAAACGCATTGCACTTTATTCTTCATAAAATAAAAAAAGGATAACCTACTATAAAATTTTATGACGCTATAACCGAGGGTTAGTTAATTTTTAGCCGATAAAACCGGATTTTTAATAACGTTATGGAATAGTTTTTGACCGGACCTATTAAAAATTGACGTTATAACCGAGATGACGTAACTACCGAGGCCGTAATAAGCGAGTTCCACTGTAATACGATAAAACTGTCGCGCTATTTGCCAAACCATTTGAAGAATATTATTCACCCAGTCATACAAAGAAATGCGTTATTTGGAAATTCAGAGAATTTACTACTAGGAATGTTAGCCGACAACAGACAGTACGTCAGAGAACATGCACTCCGCAGAATATTGAAGATCAGAAAGACATCAAACATCGGAGCCTTGCGTATTTTCCAAGTACCTACTTTAAATAAGGATGCTCATAATTATATTGATATGATAGATTGGAAAACCAAGACAGAACCTTCACTAACGATGAGTATCAGTAACGAAATAATAACTCAGGCCATCATAGAGCCACAGCTTGTCGAAAATGAAATCCTGAAGAATATTAGAAAAGGTGTGTCAAATTTGTTACAGAAGCAAGTGCTGCCGTCTGTGCACCACTGAGGAGCGATGGATTTATTTAAGAATAAGCCGAAATCATGCCTTTTGATGCCTAAATTTGACAGTAGGAAAGACTATCATTCATAATAATTTTTTATGTTATTCTTGAATTTGTAAGCATATTTTTTTTTATTTTGTATTAACTATTTTTTTTTTCTTTGTATTATTTATAATGCTTATAGCTCAAATAAATAAATAAAAATATTATCGTTGACTCTGTCGAATTAAAAAATACATTAATTTATTGAATTTTTATTAAAAATTTTACAAAGTTCCAAAATTTGAATCACCTTGGGGCATTTTCAGACTGAAAATACGAAAAAATATCATTTAAGTTTTTCATTCGAAAATGGAAGACGTATCAATTCCGCACTCCGCAAAAAATGAAATTCGAAAAATAAATTTGAGCTCTACCCTAATCTACATACAATGTAACAATGTATGTTAAAATCTCAAGTTAATTTGTTTTATGTATTTTCTCTACAATGCTTTTTGTATAAATAAGCGACTAAAAAGGAATGGCACAATCAAGGAGAAATCTTATTTACGCTTTTGTAGAATTTATTGAGTAATAACTATTTTCTATTTTTTAATAACTTTGAAACTCACTATTATAGTGATTAACTACTTTTCTGATACCCCTAGTTCTATCATTGACACTCAAGCTTTTGTAAAAGGTTTCATTTACTCTCTTATCCCAAGTTACAGTATAACTAAGACAATTATCAGTTAAACTAAAGAAGTCATTTTCAGTTTACCTTCCAAATATTACTATAGTTTATTTTTATGAACGAGAGAGTAATTAGCATAATTTTAACTGGTACCTCCGACCACTCCATGGGCGTGCTCAAGATTAATTGAAAAATTACTTTGAATAATTGTAAAAAATAAATGAATTATTTCAGTGTAATAAAGTGTTATGTGTAAAAAAAAAAAGGAACCTCTTTTATCACACACTATATTAGAACTGACTGGCCTACATTAAAAAGGGTTTTAAACAATTCACATCGTAAATCGTAGATTTCCCAACACCAAGTGTACTGCTAACTAACTCAACGGTCTCATCAACACTTTCACATAAACGTTTGTCTGTAAATGATTTAAAACAATTAAATATTAATGTTTTTTCATTAATTGTTAAAGGACCAATTTTTCGGCGTTTACACGGCACTTCCAAATTTTCCATAACACTAATATACACAATAAACTGCACCTTGCAACTGAAGTACCTACTTTTAGTGAACTGGTAAGAATTTTGAATACGCCACTTGGACCTTCCAACAAAATGGAAAAACCCACTATCACATTTTCTGCGGAATAAGTTTAGAAGGTAATTATCTAGTCAATTACTGTCGTAGATTTCTGGAATTAAAAAATTAAATGTAACCAATATATAACCAATAAAATAAACATCTTACATTTCTTGCAAATTCATTAGTACCTGTTAACCTCCATCACTCCGACACTGGCAACCTTATTTAGGGATTAGTAACCCTCACAACTATTGTATTCTATTCTGCTGCAACCTTTATACCTGGTGGTCATACTCAATTTAAAATTGTTTTCCTATATACTTCTGTAAACTTGTTTACAAATATCTGTTTTACATGGAGTCACCCGTATCAACAGTTTAGGGGTTTGCATACATAATTTATTGTTTTATTACTCTCTCATACATAAAAATACACTATACTACTTCCTACTCCGAACATTAGCCAATTCAAAAAACAAGCCCTTAAAGTACTTTGGTCAAATCCAAATCCAGTCATTACATTTTACTTTTATTATTTATTTATACCAACCTTTTCTATTTGTTTTAAACCTTTGGCATTTCTTTGGCATTTCTTTCCTCAGGTAGCTGTAGCTTTCTCCGTGGTTATTGTTAATTGTTGCCCTGGACACCATCAGGGTTTTATAACTCTAAGGCCCCAAATTAGCCGCATTACTTCTGTAGTGGTTTTTTCCATGTTAATTTCTTACTTCTAACTCTATGGGCTAACTAAATGTAGGGCAATTTCCCCCGACATATTTGAACTAGTACAGCAAGAGTTTAGAAATAGGATTCATTACTGTTAAGAAGTAGTATTGTTCTGAAGCTATTTTTTTGTGGCATTTTAAATTAATTACTATTTAACTGGGAATAAGCCACAATTAAAGATAAACATACGTTCATTGACGTTTCAATTTTCACTTCGGAAATCGTTCTCAAAATACGATGTTGAGGTGTTTTAAAAACGCACATTTAAATTTATAAGTTAGAGTATCTCAATGTTTTTATTTATTTTCTAAAATAAAGACACAAACAATTTTATTCCATAAGTGGTTTCCACACTATGTAAAATTTGATAATGTAATATCTTGAGATTTGATTTTTCATCGGAAATGTTGCATATTCTGGTTATATGCATGGCTGTTTCATTATTTACACGTTCAAAAGTCTTCCATTTGATTATTTAGCTTTATTCACCTTTAAGTAAGAAAGGTGACCCAAATGTGTGAAGTATGAAAGATGACTCAAACCTGGACCCTAACCAAGGCAAACATGAATAAACTAGCCACAACAGAAGGAACAATGAAAAGAGCAATGTTAGGTATACGACTGTCAGATAAAAAGAGGAACGACTGGGTAAGATCCAAAACAAAAGTCGAGGACATAACAACAAAAATTGCCAAACTTAAATGGAGCTTCGCGGGCCACACTGCTAGACAGAAAGACCAACGTTGAAATACTACAATACAACATTGGAGACCTTACGAAAGTAAACGACCAAGAGAAAGACCACAGATGAGATGGGTTGATGATATTAAAAGAGTAGCCGGAACAAATTGGAAATATGTTTCTCAGGATAGAGACCGATGGAAGGAGTTCGGAGGGGCCTATGTCCAAATATGGACGACAGAAGGCTAAGAATAAGAAGAAGTAAGAAAATTAAAATTTCTCTTTCCATATTCCTTTGCTCATGTTAGTATGTTAATAAATATTAAAAATAAACATTTTTATTTATATAAGGAAATGGTAACATGAAAATATGTAGTTAAAGTTTACTATTATTCCTAGAAGCTGATGTTTTGTAGTTGTATTTTATGCAATAATATATACGACTCCTAGATTATTAGCATTTCGAATTTTATAATCAATATTTAATTGTCTTCAGCCTGAGTATCTCTACATTCAGATTTTAGAATTTTATTTAAACCAAACACATACATTACAGTTAAATGTATAGTAATCCTCGAAGAAAATCCTATTAACTAACACATAAATGTTATACGAAGGCGTAAACGTGTTCAAAATACTAATCCTTGGTAGAATATTTTATGCACTAAGAGGAAGTTATAGTGCAGTAAATTTGAGAAATATTGCAAGCATTGTAAAATTTTAATAGCAAAAAAATCCTTTGCTTTACGACCATTTTTAAATTTTAGTAATATGAGTAATGTTTTTAAAGTTTTAATATCCATTTTATGTAAGACAGCTCAATCAAGATGTTGTATATATTATTTATATGTAATATATAACTGTTTCTAGAAACGAGTTTAATTAAAACCACACAAAACACCTTAAACAAAAGAGAAGATATTAAAAATCTTAGTGCTTAAAGAAAAGAACAACTATATAAAAGTTCCTATCAAAGTTACACAGAATAAAGGGTTCCAAGTTCAAATAAGATAAAATTTATTTTTCCACAAATCGCCAGGAAATTTTGACATTCCTGTCAGAATTTCTTGAAGAAAAATCAGGACTTCCTTACTGTAAGGAAATGTCATTTCCTTACTGTAAGGAAATGATATTTCCGCACAGTTGTTAGTGTTCTACATAAATGATAGAAAACACATTGCTATAAACAGAATTTCTTGAAGAAAAATCAGGACTTCCTTACTGTAAGGAAATGTCATTTCCTTACTGTAAGGAAATGATATTTCCGCACAGTTGTTAGTGTTCTACATAAATGATAGAAAACACATTGCTTATAAGGAATTAATTTATATTTTGAAGACATCAAGTCATTGCTGAATACATTTTTAAGATCAATTTGTTATATTTACAGTAATTTGACAGTTAGTACAATTATTGAACATTGGAGGAACACTCTTAGAACTATGAGAACCATTTTGGACAACATGCAGGGTGGAAGTGTCATTTTGTTGAATATTTTGTACTGTGAAAATTTTATTTGCCACCTCAACCTTATTCTTAAGCGATTCTTCGATATATCCTTCAGCAACGTTTGATGACTTCCATCCGCCATGCCTCTTTAAACTAGTTATGTAGGCACCAGAGTCAACCAATATTGTTGCAGAAGACCGACGAAAGCAGTAACCAGTATATTCTGTCGGATTTACCAAGTTCAAATAAGTAGCAATTATTTTGGGCATTTTTCTAAATTGATGAATTCCTACCACTTGTCTACAACCCTTTCCGCTTTGATATTTAAAGAAAAATCGGTCACTGTTCATATTTTCTGGTCTTAACGAAACATACTTTCGATAAACATTCAAGTAGATCTGATTAATTACAAATGATCTTGGTTTGTTGGTTTTCGAATCAGGTATGCTGATTAAAAGCTTAGATTCTAAGTCTTCTATATCGTGTACAGTCATTCGGACTAACTCATCCATTCTACAGGCCCCAGAAATACCAAATATTACAGCCACCTAAAAAATAAATAAAGCTATATTCTAAATAGAAATTAAAACCTTGTAAATTACCTTAATCATTAAATTTTCTTTATCTGGAGCTTTCTGGATAAATTTTTCAATTTCATCCTTCGTTAAAATCTTAGATTTCTTTGCCCTATAACCTTGAGCTTGCCGTTTCAATAAAGAACAAAGTTTTGAGTATGTAGATATATCTACATTGTGTTTAAATGCAAGGGTTGACTTCAGCATTGAATAATTGGCCCATAATGTTGAAGATTTCATCTTTAAACAAAGGTCTAGGAAGTATGCCATTACAACATTTTCTGAGAAAGAACTCGTATTTTTACTCATGCGATAATCCA